CAGCCCCCCCCCCCTCACCGCCCAATTCTCTGTGATTTTGAGCCAGTTCCATCCTGGGTGGACTTCAAAGTTAGCAGCATCTGGGACAGCAGCAGTTTCCATGGCAACCGAATCTGGAGTACTGCTCCGCCTAGGGAGCCGGGCGGGCTGCTGCTCCCGCCCCCCTCCTCTCCCCTCCCCTCCCCTCCGCAGCCAGCCAGCCAAGCGCCAGACATGCAAAGGGGCTGGGAGGGACCGGCCCTCCAACCTGGGGCAGGTGACCCCCTTTCCATCGCTAGGGCCAGGCAGGCAGAAGCCCCCCCGGAGGCAAGGCTGGGGAGCAATGGCAGGGGGCTGCAAAGGGCAGGGGGCACTTGGGACTGGGGCGCTTCTGGGGCCCTGGAGCCGTTCAATAGGAGTGCGAAGCCTTCCTGGCTCCCTCAGCAGGGATCAGGCGTTGCGGGGTGCCTCTCGGCCCCCCAACACCCATTTTGCCCATTGGTTAGAAATCTTCTAAATAAATGAATTTCCCTCTCTTCCCAATTGGCCAGCTGGAGAGCCCAGAAGGGGAGGGGGCCCCTGGCCTGGCTCTCCATTCAGAGGGGCAGCCCACTGCCCACAGCCACGTAGGGGTGACTTGGCATCTATCCAGGGGCTGTGGGCAAGGGGCGCTGCTTCTCTCCTCCCCTCTTTTTGAGACGCCACGAAGCTCAGCCCCCACGGGCCACGTACATACGTACTCAGGCAGCTGTGGCCATAGTGGACCAGGAAGTCCGCTCCCAAGGCCCGTGCGGTAAAGTCGTCCACGCAGCAGGCCCCGTAGGTCACGTCGCCCATCACCACGGCCTCTGCCCCAGTGAACCTGCAGGAGGAAAGGCAGAATGCACGTCCCATGCGGCTCAGCCTTCCCCCCCTCCCCACGGAGGGTCCCGTGAGCGGCCCCGCAGCGGCCCAGGAAACTGGGTTTCCAGCCCACTTCAGCCCAGTGGCTCATCCTGCTTTGGAGGAGGAGGAGGAGGAGGAGGAGGAGGAGGAGGAGGACGACGACGACGACGACTGTGGGGTCCCTTGGTGCTCTCTAAGCATGGCTGGCTGGGGAATTCTGGGAGTTGAAGTCCGCAGGTCTTAAAGGGGCCCAGGTTGGAGACCCTGATTTAAGGAACGAGAAGGGCAGCTTCACAGCCAGGGAGGGAGGGAGGGGGGGGGATGAGGAGCCCAGCTGAGGCTGCTGCTGCTGCTTCTTCTTCGGATAAAAGGATCCGGATAATCAGCCCCTTTGAAGCCACGACATGAAAGAGGCCCCTCGCTGGGCAGGGGGCTCCCCAAAGCATTGCAGCACTGGGGGCAGCTGGCTCCAGAGGCAGCCCCCCAGGAAAGCAAGGGGGGAAGCCCCCTCCCCCATCAGCCATTCGCCCTCTTCCATGGATCCAGCAAGGGTCCCAAAGGCCTTTCCGAGCAGCCGAGCAGGCGGGGTGGAACCCAGGGGGAGGGGAAGGGAATGGGGGGGGGCATTCGAGCAGCCCTGGGGTCAGCCCCACCTCCCTCGCCCCCACAAGGGGGCCCCCCCAGACTCACATTCAGCCCCTGGGCAGGCAGAGCTGAAGGGCTACACGGCAACCCTCATGCCAGGAGGCTGGAGGTGAGGACGCCCCCCCCCGAAACACATGAATGCCAGCCTCCCCCCCCCCG